CAGTGGCTGTTCATATGTATACCTACATGCGCGCGTAGATGTTCTATATGTAGGTACGAAGGTATGAAGCTATGTATGCGAGTATGTATATTAATGTATTTGTAACGTATTCATTTTTGTATTTTCTATATGTGCATATATTTGTATGTGAATATGTAATTATGTATCTATGTATTTATATGTTTGTATATATACACATATGCATATCTATATCTATATATATATATATACCTATATATGCATGCATTTATTTGTATGTGTTATATATTTACTGGTTTTTGTAACTATACATGTATATTTGTATATTTAAAAAAGGATTTACACGTTTTTATCTTTTTAGATATATATATATATATATGCATGTTTATACATGTATAGATGTGTTAAAAACCTAAAAAACGACCCCTACCTCTGACCGACAGGAGGCTTTCCGTCAGGCCGCCGCACGTGTGGGAACACGAGAGAAGGGCAACTCTGGATGAAGCTTGCGGCGATTTGATGCGATTTGTGCACTTTAGGGTGGATTTCAGGGTTTAGGGCTTAAGGAATTAAAGTGTGCACTTTAGGGTGGATTTCAGGGTTTAGGGCTGCAGGCATTAAAGTGTTAGAGGATTGCAAGGTTGCTAGCAGCAGCAACAGAGAGGGACGAGAACAACTGCCAGTAGCAGCAAGAGTGGTAGTAGCAGTTGGAGCAGCAGCAGCAGCAGCAGCAGTAGTGGTGGTAGTAGTAGTAGTAGTAGTAGTAGTAGTAGTAGTAGTAGTAGTAGTAGTAGTAGTAGTAGTAACAGTAGCTGTCGTCGTCGTAGTAGCAGTAGTACTAGCAGCATCAGCAGCAGCAGTGGTACTATTAGCAGCATCAGCAGCAGGAGCAGCAGCAGAGGAGCAGCAGCATGGGACAGCAGGGGAGCAGGAGCAGGAGCAGGCGAAGGAGCAGAAGCAGTAGGAGTAGCAGTAAGAGCAGGAGTAGGACTAGGACTAGGACTGCAAGTAGGAGCAGGAGCGGGAGTTTTACATTGCACGTACGTGGCACCCTTGTTTTGCCCGTAGACTCCTCCAACGACGATGGTTCTGCGGCCTCACTCCGAAGTAACAACAAACTTGTTAATGTTCACAACGAGGCATGTACTCTTGCGCTGGCCAAGCCATATAAAATGATGTTCCGAGTCGTCCACTAACAAAAAGCGTGTCAGCACGAACAAGTTTTCATGCGGCTGATGTAGGAGGAAAGTGGTGGCAGGAGGAGAAACAGCAGCGGGTGCAGCAGTGATAGCTGTTTTACGAGTCGGTAAGACACCAGGCATAATATGCACTTGATCGTCAACTTGACAGAAAGAGTGCAGCAGGAGCCGTAGGTAACGAAGGACACAAGACCACCACTAGCGACGTTCTCAAAATGCTGGCGACATCTGCTCGGGACGTTCCTGTACAGATCGTCTGCAACCTCCGATTTGTGCCCTGGCTCGAGCTCGGACGAGGCGCCAATGCCACAATGCAAAAGCCTATGTCGGCTTCAAGTGGGCTCAGGGTGTAAGGATTTCAAGTTCAGTCTCATCAATAGGGTCTTGAGGTAGCACATTGGGAATCATAGTTCAGGGTTTTATGGCAAGCTCAGTCTGTTGAGCAGGCAGTGGATGTCTTCTGGAATGCTACTTGGCCTAGATATGGGAGTTTCCGAAGATAGAGGACCCTAATCGAGTAACCTGACTAGTAGGATCCCTATTGTAAGGACCCCCAAATGAGCTACCCCTAATTTTCAGAAACTCCCATATGATACAAGAAGTTAAAGCTCTCAAGGTTCCTTGCAGGGCAGGCACCTCGAACTAGACCGAAAAGGTCAATTCCCGTCTGATGACATTCTTTCACTTAGGCCGGCTGTCCAAGCCTCGTGCTTGGATGGGATTGGCGGCTTATGGCCATAGGGCTTCTCGCATGGGGTTTCGGCGGGATTGAGGTATATAGCCCCTTGGAGAGCTTCGCAGGATAGTTGGCTGCCGCGAAATGCGGGAGCAGCATAACCATATCCTCCTCAGGGTTTGGGTTGCAAAACTTCAACTATTTCAGGTTTCCGGGTTTAGAATTGAAATTAAGGCCAGGGGTTTGAGCGGTTTAAATTGTCTTAGACGTCAACATGAAGATCGCAAGCTAAATGTCGCTCAAGAAACAACAACCCTAAACCCTGCAAGCCCCCATCTCTGAAGCTTCACCCCTAAACCCTACGCTCCTAAACTTCTAGGCCCTAGCCTCAACACCAACACCCACGACTGAAGGGCGAACACCTCAACTTCTCGGCATCAAGTTCCACAAGTGTAGGACAATCATGAGGCTTTCGGGGCTCACAAGGGGGTAGGACTTAGAGTCGGCGTCTCTGCACATTCTTACTGCAGGAGCCTCGAGTAGAAAACTGTGCGCACCCATAAGCGCCACGGCACCAATCCGGGTGAGATGTTGGTTGCCGGACTTTGCCGGAGGCTTATTGTGGGAGTCTCGACAGAAATTGGGGTCCCTACCTGGAGGATCTTTGCATCAAGCAAAAAAATGCTAATCCAGGATCTACACTCCGGGTCCCTTACTTTTTCCGAAACTCCCCAAGGGGAGTCTCTACCAAATAAGGGACCCTCAATATATGAAAGCAAATGTATAAGAGTCGACTCGTAGACAGGATACATGGTTTAGGGACCCCGAAATCCCTAAACCCCTCGGGGATCTCGAGTTTCTGGAAACTCCCACACTCCAATTTGGCCGTCTGCAGTCTCATCTCAATACATAGCTTTGGCGATCCAAAGGCACTTTCAATACAGCTCAGAGTTTTGGGCCTTGCGGTTTGGGAAGCTTATGGGGTTTAGGGTCTTGGGTTTCAAGTTTAGGCTCTGAGAGGAAGCTCTGTGCAGACTCTGGGGGTCTAAGGATTTGCACCCCAAGGCGGGGTTCACTTACAGGCTGCTTTCGGGGGAAACCATAAAGGGCTGAGCCCCGTCAATTGCTGTTGAACCCAGAGCATCCCGCCTCCCCCCCCACACACACACTTATATAGCCTAAACTAAAGCTTAAGCCCAAAGCCCGGAAGTTGAAACGGTCGACCGGCTGCTCTTGCCTCTGAACGAACCTGACGGACCAAGTGACCCTTATACAAAAGTAGGGGCCCTCTACCCCGATACTCTGAACCCCTATGTGGTTATTATATGAACCTTGAACCCTTTGAGGATGATTTTGGTGCTCTAGAAAAATAATGTTCTCTCACGACACCGACTTCAAGAGGAATCGGTCGAAGTTGAGAACAACTGCGGCGATGGAAGCAACTATAAACCTTAATCGTTTCATCTGGCTCGTGGTCGTTTTCACATTACAGTTATAAAGGGACTAGAGGGAATATCATTACCAGTTTTTCAGGATTCCATCTAACCTGAACCCGAACTTGAGACCAGCAGACTGCCAGTTGCACAATTCGACGATGACCTGGTGTTCACATGCCAAACGAGATGAATGCGTACCTGGAGTAGGGATTTTCCACAGCAAGCTCTGGTTTAGGGCTTAGGGTCTCGGGATGTAAGGTTCAGGAATGTTGGGGATTTAGGATTCAAACGGGTTAGTTATCAGTTTGGGGCGTTGTTCAGAGAGCATATACAACATTCAGGTTCGAGGTTGGGTGGAGGGGACATCGCATTGGAACGACTCAGAATGCTAACATACTCGGACAGGTCATGCAGCAGATCGTGGAGCATCCCAAACTAGAATCATTCAATCATCTTGCTCGAGTCCGAAGTCTAAGTCTATGTCGAACCCTGACATCCGGACAGCGCAGCATCGATGGCTCTACGACTCTACGTCAATGCGCAATGCATGGGCAGAAGACCTGTGAAGGCATGTCCAAATCGCTGAACCTCCCGGAAGCCCAAGGGTGTGAGCCTGCAATCGGACCCTCGTGATACGCTTTTATCAGATAGGCTGAAGCCTCAAGCATAGGCGCAAGCAAAGGACATCGAATGGAAAGTCCAACTCATGAAGGATCGCATGGTCTGTTGTGTCGGGCGTTGCTTACTCTTGACAAAGCCTCCACCCGAAGTCTTGAGAGAGAGAGAGAGAGAGAGAGGACTTAAAAGGGACCCTTTTTCCTCGAGATTCGGGACAGCGTATGTGCCTACCTAGTCTCTACGATACTTTCCCCGGTTAGCTTCGTGTCTTATTGTCGGATCCTAGCCATAACATGGGGCATAGGTTGCCAAAGCAAGGTACTCCATTCTAGCGTCTAGGGTCTGTGGTATCGGTATAACTGCAAGACCACTGCTTTCCCCCGGCTTGGCTGTGTCGGTCTCGGGTGAAACGGTCTGAGGATTTGCGCTTGGCGGCTGCACCGCAATGTCGCTATCTGTGTGTCCGGTCATCAGAAACCCTGTCTGGTTAAACACAGCAACTCAAATGTGTGAGCAATCAGGATCTCTAAATTTTATGAACCCTAATATCTTAACCCTAGACCTGACAAGGGGCTCAAAAGAGTTATTTTATATCTGGTCGAAGTCTGTGACAAGCTGAGGCTTCATTAAACCCCTATGCCAAGGTCGGTGAAGCTTCGGTTCCACTTCAGGCTTCCAAGCCCTGCAGATGTCTCTCCTCTGTGGTTCCTTTTTGCATGTAGCTTGTAATGGTGGGCTCAACAAGGAAGCACAAGGAATAATGTAGGTAAATCCTTCCTTCTTGACCAGCACCGCCAGATTCGGATCTATGTACAGGGATCGAGCACCAGCGAACGAAGCTGTCGCCAGGAGTGGGGAACAAAAGGGTTGCATGGGGTCTTATCAGTGGTCAGACTTTTGTAGGGCTTAGTGTAGGGGGCCTCACAATTAGAACAAGCTTTGAGGCATATCATGCGGTAAGCCGTCTTTGCCATGCCGCGATTGACTCAGAATACAAGCTGCCATGTCCCCATACTCCTTCCGAAACTCCTACTTCCCTTACATCCTAAATCCGTAGGCTCTCACCCTACCACCCCGAAACCCAACAGACTGCTAGCGCTGAAATGCCGCCGGGTCATAATCCGGCATCGAGCTCCTCGCACAAACGGATTCAGGCCGGGGTTCGGGGCGAAATGCAGCATGGGGCCGCAGCAGTTACAGCTCTGCGAAGGCTTCCGACAGTAGAAGTCACTTGCACCTGTACCCTGGACCCCCCAAACTTTGACTTAAAACCCCATAGGCCGCGAGGCCTGCATGGTAAATTAACCTGTCCTGTCGGTGCCGACGCGCGCCGTCAACACCTCGACACCATCCTGCAGATCACATGGGCATCCTGCGAAGTAGTGATCACGTACACTGCCATCCATCGTGTTATTGTTGCTGTTGGTGCTATTGAAAGTTGTTGGTGCAGTTGGTGTTGTTGCTGTAGCTGCGATGATGCCACGCTTGTTTAATCTGTAACTTTAGTAAGTAATGTCATTATAATACATGCAACTACATCTGATATGGTCAACTCGTCTACTATACGTCCTTACTAGTATTACCCTGATTTCTATGCATGCCACGTATTCGTGCTGCTGTAGTTGTTGTTGGCACTGCTGCTGATTTACCAGTGATGGATTTGGCTTTTCACTGTCCGCGTTGTTGACATTTTGGTTGGCACAACCTTCGAACACCGTGCGACTTTGGACGTCAAAGTAGGTAATAGTTCGGAGCTTTTGGACATGAATGGCGCGGAGACACGGATCTGCTCGGGAATGCCCGAACCTAAATTGAGAAGGCCACCTATGCATACGGGACTCTATACTAGCCAGAGCCTGCGAAGAACACAGAAAGCTGTGATAGGCTAGACACGTCGGCGCGCACATATCCGAATCAGCCTGAACTCTAGCCACGTATTTGTGGATTTGGGGCTTTGGGTTTAGGGGCATGCTGCTTGTACCTACCCTACAGCCCTGACACCCGCACTCAAAAACTCTCAACTTTTGCACCCGAAGTCGAATCCACCTCCGTCACCCCTAAACCCTCCTAAACCCCCAACCCTAAAACCCTAAAGCCCCTTTTCTATCCCCCTTTGGGAAGCCTCCGTCACGAGGAAGGTGTGCTCAAACTGGGCTGAGCGGCGGCCGTCGCGGGTGGCGGCAGTCCATCCGTCGGGCCAGAGCCTGAACTTGGGGATCTTCTTTAAAGCGCTTTGGTGTTAGGGTTTTAGGGTCTTAGGGTTTAGGGTTAAAGGTCTTAGGGCTTAGGGTTTTAGGCTTTAGGGTTTAGGCTCTTAAGGGGTCTTCTTTACAAAGAGGAAAATGGGGGACCCTTAATGGGGACCCCTACCCTCTAATGGGCTATATAATGGGTATGTAATAGGTATATTAATAATAAGGGTATATACCTAGGGGTCCTTATTCACGGTCCCTCCTTTTACCCTTGGATTTAAAGCGCTTTAGCTTTGGGGGTCTTCTTTAGCGGGACTCAGGGGCCTATAGGATTTAGGGCTTCTTCAAAGGGCTACGGGTTTAGGGTTTAAGGTTTAGGGCTTCTTTACAGGTTTAGGGCTTTGGGGTCTTCTTTAAAGGGCTTAGGACAGGCCGATAAGGCTTACAGGGTGTAAGGGCCTTCCTTAAAGGATTTAGGGGTCTTCTTGAAACCTAGGGCCTAGGGTTTATATGTAGGGTGTGGAGGTTATCTTCAAAGGGCTAAATACTTAAGCCTTAAGATGTATAGGTTTGAAGGTCTTCTTTAAAGGGTTTATGCAGCAGGGCTTACAGGTTTCAGGAATTCCAGGTTTAGAGGTTCAGGGTAGGATCTTCTTTCAACGGTTCTTTCAGAGGTTCGCGGCTTTAGAGTTCCTTTTAAGGGTTTCCTCCAGGGTTCTACTTTAAACTCTATCTGAAGTTTTAGAGTTAAAGGCCGGGTATCGGGCCGTGAGGCTTACGATTTGAGCTTTTGGTGCTTTCAGGATTCTACTTTGTACGTTGGGGGGCTTTGGGGCTTTGCTGGGTTTACTCCCGCCTCTCACGGCTCTTGCCCAAGTTCAGCATCGGCTCAACGGTGAAGATCTGAGCACAGGAACGGAATTTCTCTTGATATTGTGTCTCAGCGATATACAGGAGCTGCAGTTCAAACTGAAATGTTGCCCGTTTGTACCAAAGTAATCAGGGAGCCTTATGGGATAACATCCTTAAACTTCCCTTAAAGTCATAACCCAAAGGCCTCACACTCTGCTTGCTGCCACGCTTTGCTGACTGAGGTGGCGAAGTAAGATCGTTTTGGGGAGGGGGTGCAGGCGAGAGCTTCGAACCTGTCGGCATCAATCTCTGAACTGTGCTTGGCGGGGTCGTGAACCCCATGCCCCAAAACCCCCTAACTCCCCTGACAAAGAACCCTGAACCCTAAGCCAAATCGTCTTTCACACATCATCCAGGCTGTTGGTCCACATTCTGTGGCGCGGAAGGGGTACACTGTTGCACAGCTAACGCTCCCTGGCGATAAAGCACAGCTCAAACATGCTTAGGGCTGTTTTGTGAATGCCCTTTGCTGAGGTTGCGGCATGCCCGGGCTTCATCAGTCCGACCGTCTTGTTCTTCTTGAAGTGCGGTATCTAAGGGGGGGGTGGGGAGGGTTCAGGAAATTATGAGTGCATGGGTAGTGGCCCTTATATAAACATCGGCCTCTCCTGGCGAGAACAGAAGAGATCTCTAAGGCCTCTAAGGGTAACATCCAAAGGGAACAAACGAGGTTACTGCATGGAAATTGATATTATTTTTTGGGGAGTTCTTGCAAACCCGAGTTATCAAATGCCGCTGACAATGGGATACCTCAAGAAGGTACTACAATCAGAAAATGTCCTAAACCCTGAGTGCCTTGGACAGCCTCGGAGACCTGGAAGCAAGCCCAAAAAACCAAAGCTGTCGTAGATCTTGGTTACGGTCTGGGCTTTTGGGTTTAGGGTTAGCCTTGTCAACATAACCCACACTCCCTAAACCCTAAAACCCTCAACCCTAAAACCCTAAACCCTAAAACCCTAAAGCCCTAAACCCCTAAAACCCTAAACCCTAAGACCCTAAACCCCAAACCCTCAAACCCTAAACCCTAAAACCCTAAAGCCCTAAACCCTAAAACCCTAAAACCCTAAACCCCTAAAACCCTAAACCCTAAGACCCTAAACCCCAAACCCTCAAACCATAAACCCTAAACCCTAAACGCTTGTTGGCCAACTCATTCGCTGGGCTTCCAAGCATCCGGAGGCCCATGGAACAGACGACCGACTCCGTGACCACAGAAGGCAGTCCTTGCGAGTTGGGGTTTAGGGTTTTGGGGTTTTAGGGTTTAGGGTTTACGGTCTTAGGGTTTAGGGTTTTAGGGTTTTAGGGTTTTAGGGTTTAGGGTCTTAGGGCTTTAGGGTTTTAGGGTTAAGGTTTAGGGTTTTGAAGGCTTGCAGGTTTTATGGGTCCTGCTTGGGCTAGGATGACATTTCCGGATGCCAACTGGGAGCATGCAAGGGGTCAGAAGTGGGACGTAAGGCTGAGGAGTTCTGTTGTGGGTTTGGGGGAGGACTTCAAAAGTTGGCTGAGTCCGCCCTGTGCCCTCCTCGGCTTTACTGTTGCAAGCTTTTTGGAAGAGGGGGAACACATCACCTGTCCATTGCTACTTGCGAACGGGGACAGCTGATTTGCAAAGATCTCGGCAGTATATAGCTTTGTGCCCAAAGGGTCCATGTATCACTATGGTATATACTTAGACCCCCCAAAATATCTTATATGTATATACCATATTGATACTTGGACCCTTTGGATGGCAATCTGCGCGAGACTCTAGACCGCAGCTTCAAAGCTACTTGGCGGATCATGGGACTTACTATGTATGGTTATAAGTACCTCACTTGGGGTTATAAGTAGTTATAACTATACATACCCTAATAATATTTAATAATCTTAGCTGCTAAGTCCCATGATCCTTTAAGTACAGTGCGTTAGGCATTCGTCGCTCTGCTTTTGCGCAGGAAATGATTCGGCCAATCCTCACCCACCATGGAGCAGACAGCACTCCCGAAAGGGCTGCGTCCGGGCGCAGTCATATCCGAAACTTTACTCCAAAGCCTCCAGAGCTCTAAGTCCGAGAAACCCATCGCACCTTAAAGCCCTAACCCCGGAGCCCCACACCCCCGTGAGCTATCTCCTCTGAAAACCCTCTCAACAAGACGTGTCGATCCGAAACACCCTCCCAACGGCCCCTAGTACTCCTGAGCCCCCTGATATAGCTAGAGTTTAGGGTGAAGGGTTTAGGGTTGAGCTAGAGTACAATCTGCCCCAAAGCCCTCCCGTAGCCCTAATATAATGTACGAAGGCTAAAGTTGCATTTCGGGGCAGATTGTACCATAGTCAGTTATAAGAAAGCCTGCAGCCGTACGGCTTCGGGTTTAGGCGTTGATGTGGCGGGGGTTTAGGCGATTCGGGTTTAATTACTGTACAAGAACCACAAGACACCATAGGCAAAACTGTTATACATATGAGCAGCCCTGCAACAGGAAAGACAACCAGGGCAGCTGAGAGCAGCACACGACAGAACAGCCTCTCTTCACAGCCTCTTTGAAGGAGTGCAGGGTTGCGGGTTTATGGTTCCAGTCTACAGTTTGTCTAGATGTCGGATCTAAAGTTTTAAGATTCGAAGACGTTAAGCCCTATGCGTGTCTAGAGCTTCGCCTGACCATTTCTGCTTCAGGTTTCATGGGGTTTAGGGTTTCGGGCCTCGCAGAAGGATGACAGGGCTTCCTTCAGGGTCTCTTTTGGCCAGGTAAGGTCTTCGTGGTCCTTGTGGCCTGTCACTGAAATCTATGTCCTACCCTAAGGGCCGCAAGCCCAGCCTTGTAAGGACATCTAACAGGAACTCAGAAGAACCCTACAGCATGTAGTTTTTTAGGCTTCAAACACACCTTAACAGGTGTCGCAGGGAGCTGATTCTTGGCCCGTGCTTCGTGATTTGGGCGTGCAGGCCCACAGGTAGTACTTCGGCATGAACGACTGTGTGCTCCTTCATCTGAGCGTGTTCAATGATGTTGATGATGATGGCGATGACCACGATCCTCAACTATCGCCATCGCAACCAACAGGGTGATGACGGTGGATATCATCATGTTCAGTATACAAGTAAGTGATGCTGGCGGCATGTCCTGTGCCACTCGATTGTTGGCGCTGGCCGCAAAAACTCTTGAACCCATACCCAAAAAACAAGCGAACACAACAAGCATCCCTGAACCCACAGAAACCGTAGTTTCCATAGATCGCAAAAGACCTCAAAGTCAAGCTCCAAACTCCATGTGGGAGGCATCTGAAACTGATATTCTGCGAGGTTATATCGAGGTCGCTGATCTTCCCGCACTTCTGCACCCCGAAACCTGGACAGCCTCGGCTTCTATGACGCCACCCAGCTGTCGATACAACGTGCCTTAAGCAGTCACGGCGTTCCGGACTGAGGGGTAGTGAGAGTTGACCTTCTAGTGACTCACCTCAGAACCTGCACTCTAAACCATCATGTATTTCATCCCTGAACCCTCAACACTATCAGTCACGGAGCTAAACCGTAAACCCAGAAGTCTAAACCCTATCCGAATCACAAGCATGCTTTCGGGCATAAGATCGGCGGGTGCCACAGGGCCCACACGAAGGATGTTCACTCTTCAGGGCCTTTTTATAGCAGTCCTAGAGCGGTGGGCTCAGGGCTTCAGAGATCTCAATGGATCGCTGCACCCTATGTAATCTTGAAAACTTCTCTCTAATTACATGGCATTGGGATCACTGGGCTCCTCATCAATACAAGCATACTTCATCGATATGCGATGGAATATGTTTAAATCTACATATGTACGTCCATAGGACTCATTATCTCTATGTCTACAAGCAAATGTGTGTGTGTACACATGTGTATATATATATATATATGTATATACAAATATGTGAGCCAGTGTGAGCCACATACATTACATTAAACTAAATAAAATTACAGTACGTTCATTGCAATACATTACATTGCATTGCACTACGCTGCATTCCATTCCATTGCATTGCAATATAACAATTGCATTCCAACTGCGTTGCAATACTTGCATCACACTTCTTCCGTACAGTGTAGCACAGTACAGCAAACACATACATAAAATGAATACACCCAGCATGCAGGTATGTTTGCATGCCCTAACTGCATCTGCCCATCTATACGGTACCTACTTGGGAGTTTCCGGGGACCCTAGTATAGTACCCTATATAATAGGATCCTTATTAAAACAAGGCCCCCCCCCCTCCCCCCCAAGTTTCGGAAACTCCCACAACCCCGCTTCTGACAAGTTTGGTGAGGCCAAGCTCTTTTCTCGCACAAAATCCGAACCTCCCGGCGAAGGCTTGCACCCTAAATCTGGCGCCTGGTCTCAAAAGACATAGCCTGCAAATTCAGATTGGGGGTGCGGGTGTGGCTTCGGATCTAGGTTTCACGACGTCCTGCATCGGGTTTACATCAGAATATTCTATAGACCACTCTCCGCGGGCTCAGCTGAGCTCAGGAATCTTCCACAGGCCGTCGTCCAGGTAGTGGATTTTGTCAATGCAGATGCCTCACCCGGTTGAGGACGTCTCGGTTTCTTACTGTTTTTGCTACGACCAAATTGATTGTAAACTTGGGGCGTTCAAGATCAGCTCACAATGTCTCGAGTCTCTTGTAAGGCCTGAGGTATCACAAACGACTGTTCCAGTTAGATACCTGGAAATGAAAACAAGCCTGATTGCGGGCCAGGGTGTAAAGCTTAAAGCTTACGGCTTCAAATCTGCATGTCTGGAGTTCTTAACTGAAGCATTTTAGGATTCCATGCTTGAGATTGAGGAAGAAACTTGCCGTGATCGGGGTCTCGAGGCTACCAGATAATTTGGGGTTACACTGTGCTGTAGAGTTTTGAACCCCGAAGCAGGAATCAAGGCCTCTAAGCTCGACGTCGTTGAGCACGAGAACCCATCGAGATCAACACAGAAACAGTGTGATGTCGAATACCATGCAAACCAGAACCATATATTGCAACTATAAATACTACATAGCTTCCCCGTGCAGACCGCTGAGCCTGCGGGACGGAAACACCAACTCGGAAAGAAGTTGGGGCTTGCTTGAGTTCACGGACGGTTTGTAAAAAATCACAATAGACTGAGCATTGAGGCTGCAGAACAACATCTTGTTGCCGGGGGTCGCCCTTGAAAGCTCGCCTGGCCAACCTGACGACAAGAGAACCTAAACCCCACACCCCGGATGCCACCATAACAAACCATAAAGCCTGAACAGTAGACCGAGAGCTACGCCGGTGCCTTTGTTGAGCTTGCGGATGTTTTCTGTGGACATGGTGGTGATGCCGACGGCACAGGCATGCCTTGGATGCACGACTCTTTCGCTTGGTCTTGAGGATCTGGGGTCTATCTTGTGGTTCGGTGTTGGTGGCCTTTCGGGTTTCAGCATAGAAAGGGTTTTGGGTTCCTTGTTATAAGTATATTATAATATCCGCCAAAACCCTATTCCAAATTTCAATCTACGCCTTGTCGTTTAGTACCATCAACATCAGCTGGCCAGCCTTGCTAAGCAAACTAATCAAGAGGCTGACTCATGAGCTCGAACAGATTCCGACAGCTGCCCGAACATTGGCAGCACTTTGACCAACTGCAATCCCGGACTGCAAGCATCATGCTGCCAAGCTTCGAAGGAACAGGTGCCCTACATGATTGCATCAACTCGGCCGTGCCCATGAGCATCCGCTCTGAAAGGTAGTGACGCAACGGATCATCGTGCATGTTGTCACCATGACTGTGAATATTGGTAAACTGTTATGGTCACCTACCCCGTCATCATCCTCACCACTACTGGCGTTGCCCTTGCAAATATCATGACCTTCTTTGCTCAAATTCGTCAGCATCAGCGTAGGCATTTGTCGGTGCATGATGAGCACCAGCCAGCCAAAGCTCCCCCCCACAACATTTCGCTCCGAACATCCCCGAAAGCCCAAACTTCCTCGAAGCGTGTTTGGTTGATCCTCTCAGGGTCGTCCTCAGCTTGTGTCCTCATCTCCGACATACACCCCCAAGCTCTCCCAGCATCACAAGCACAAGATTCGACTCAACACCTTGCTACGCGCACAAATTCCCGGGCACACGTTTGCGTTTCCGGGGTTCAGGGTCTGACGAGTTCGGGGATTCATGGCTAAAGGGTTCCTGCAGGCAATAAACCCCAAACCCTGTGTTCGGGTTTTCGGAATTTCGGGCCTCAGGGCGTTGACATTCCCCGGAAACTGAAAGAGATGCCGAGTGGCACGGTGCCCTCTGCAGTGATCTGGGCACAACCCGAGTCATTGGTACACAAAAGGTTTGCCGCATGAGCTTTCTCTGACTTCGGTTTTACTTCTAGAACCAGCTTGGACCGACAGCCGCTCTTAGAAACCCTAAACCCTAAATCCCTAAAACCTAAATCCAAACCCTGAATCCTACACCCTAAACAAATGCCTTCACAAGCAGACCCACATCCTCCCTGTATGTAGCGGACATCGCACACACATAAAGTCCATAGGCCCTCATGCCCGACACCACTCTGTGCTCAACTGCTGACGATACTTACCGGGAACAACGGCGGAGTCTGAAAACTTTGAACTCTAAACCCCTAAACCCTACTCTGACCCTAAATACGCGACACGGAAAGGACTGGAATCACAACTTCAGGCGGAAAAGACGCACCGAATCAATCACTAGCTCTCAAAAAGAGCTATGCTATGCAAAACACAGTCCAAGAAACCGAATCCATGCAAACAACAAGCCAAACCCCCGATCAGCACCCGGCCTGTACGCAGGCCCCTTCTTCCACATCCTGCAAAGCATCTACAGCTCCCATGGATTTCCACGATGTGTCACTCAGGGCTTAAGGAGTGTAAGGTTTAGAGAGCTTGGGGTAGTTACCATGTTGTTATGCCATGTAGTCATATAGACGCTGTATTATGGATTTTTGTGATACTACCTCCCTCCATCCTGTGCTAGCAGGTCTTGCCGCGCTGCCAAGAAGACGTCGAATATACAAAGCTGCCTGTTGTCCTACGATGTTGTGGATGCTACTCACGGCAAGCCCGGCGTTCGTGCTTTTAACCTATCTGAGCAAACGACCCTAATGGGTCCATTGCTGTGTAGGTATCTGTGTCAAAGATGGATACCGTTTAGGCACATGGACCCTTACAAAGGGGAACAATGGCGATCTTCTTGTTGCGGAATCTGCGAGGAAAGCTGACTTTCAAGCATCCCCCTGTCTAACATGCAACGGCCAAATCATGGATTCCAGCGTGATTGGTGGCATACAGCGTATCAGGTTCCGGACCTCATGTTTGAGTTTTGGGAAACCTAAACTCCACAGCAGTGAGCATGGCCTTCAAATCGACATAAATTCTGGTTTTTGGAAGTAAGCTCCGGTGCTGAAGCCTCAGCGAAAGACCACCGAAACCCCATGTTTAGGCCCACGTACAGAAACCCCTGTGTTCACGCAATCACTTTCGGCCCTCGGAACCACAGATCTTGAAGAGCTAACAGCTAACCAAAGGGATGTGGCCAGCAAACCCTAAAGCGCGGACCCTGAACAACATCCTATGAACCCTGAGCCCTTCACCGAAATCCTGACAGTATCGATGCCTGAACAGCTAATAAAAGCCATACGTCCTAAAGCTATCCTTTACGTCTACACAGCCCCTTCTCAGACCCTTCCTAACTATCAAGAACACTCTGCAAGACCCTACCAAAACACAGCTCTATGAACCTCACCAATTACCGAAACCCTGGCACCTCTCTGAAACCCCAAGCCCTTGTGCCCTCAACCCAAATCTTCCAAAATTCCCAAACCCTCAGGAGAGCCCAATACCTCCATCTCTTTGGGTACCTCATAAAAATTCGGCACCTATTATTTAGGGTACCAGTATCCCAAAAGGGACCCCTATGTTGACAACTACCCAATTCCCGAAACCCTGGCACCTCCATCTCACCACCCGGGCTGGTGAGCCCTGGGCACATGATCGAGGCGCCACGGAGGACGAATTTGATGGCCTGAGCAGGGAGCAGGGTGATTGAGTTATATGATATATGGGTTCAGGGTTTAATAAGGTTTAGGGTTTTGGGATGTCAGCATTTAGAGGCGTTGAGTTGCAGAGTTCGGCATGTGGGATCATTCATTACCGTAAAGCTTGGACAAAAAGAGCTTGAGCCGCAAGGAGACAGGGAATGCATAGTCTAGCGACAGGGGGTTGGTTTTACTACGATGTCCGGTGCACACGAGCCGATGCCGATCGGAGATATGCTTGGGCTGACTCTCGATAGTGTTCCATTCCTTGCATATTGCCGTCGTAGGGCCAAGCTGGGGAGTTTCAGAGAGGATGGGACCTGAAACTTCGATTAAAG